CGTCTGTAAGGCATTTTTAAAGAGAGAGGAAACTTTTCTCCTCTTCACAGTTTTCAGATGACCGCTGTGATAAGGCAGAACCGATTTAGGTGCCTCCTTCCCGTAGCTCCAGCATAAACCAGCCGGAGATAAAACTTCCTGATTGAGAAACGTGAGGCAGCTGCTAATAGAATCCTCACGAGTGAAAGAAAGTTCCTTAGCCTGTTCTTTGACCCACCAATCAACAGAATGCCCCCCTCCCCCAACATGCGAATAAAAAAGTCGTTAACGTACCGCCTAATTATAGCGCAACCCCGCAGTAACGACAACAGCTTCGCATGAACGGCCTCATCGAGAGTACTAAGGTACATCTCTGACAAAATAGGTGCAAACGAAGAACCTATGCAGACACATTGCTTTTGTGCAGAGGTACACACCTCAACCTCAACCGCTGTCGACCCAAGATAAAGCTCGGGTAAGGACACAAAGCTGCCCACATTGATCCCCGACGAAGATTGGAACCTTACCAAGGTCTAACCAATCACTAACCCTGCGGAGGAGACTCTTATCCAGCGAAAAATATAGATCCTTTGATATCAAGGGAGGCCATCTAACAGGGTTTTAAATTAAAAGGACCCAACGACGTAATCAATTCTTCTGAGTTCTGGAGCGACAGTGTGTAATGAATCTTCAGGACATCCAGGCACGATTGAAGAAAGTTTGACAAGGCACGCTGCCATTGTGCCATCTTTAATAATAATAGTCCTCAGAATTAGCTGCGGTTTATGGTCTTTCAGAAGAAACTTCACTGACAAGGCCATTCCTGTTGCACTGGTTACTTTCTTAACGACAGAACTCAATTCACAGTCTGAAAATTATTCCGACAGACTTCTTAAGTGTTTGCATGTTCCCCTTGCACGGTTGGAAAAGGGTTTCTAAGGTAGCGTGGGCTTTTTTATTGAAGGACCCAACAAGCAAAACAGCAAACCTGCCGGTCTTATCGGTTTCAAGGAGCACCAAATTCTTGAGTGCAAACTTCATTTCTACATTTTGAATTCTTCGAATATCTCTGCTGTCGAAACAATAAGAACCACAAACCAGCTTAGACATCACTTTTAAGGCCTGGTTCTCGAAGGTGGTCCTATCCGTTTCGCTATTGATTTTCCTGCCAACCGCGTGACCTGAAGCCACTACGTCCAAGCTAAACGGCTTAACAGTTGAGCAAAATTTGAGTTCATAGCCCTAAACGTTTTGAGAGGCACTGTACAATTCCACATGCGACAAGTTAACTACACTGGACTCCGAATGGTGACCAGCCGGACCCACATGACTAGCACTAGAAAGGCTTCGCCCTGAGCTAGATCCTACTCAACCATTACACAACGCATGCTCATGGAAAGCCAAACAAGAATGAAAATTCTGCCCCTTCAACTTTAACCACAACGCGTACTCAGAAGAAAACTTGTAAGCAGTTCCCCCGTAGATTGTCCGAATGGTACCACACACCTGCCGCAAGTCCTCCATCTGCTGAGTCACTGCGTTCTTGTACGCTTAGAGGATTTTTTTTCTTATAAGCCCAGGGGGCAGCCAGAAGCAGAAAGGTGCTTGCAGCGGTTATTTTCTGAAGAAGGTCGTGTTTAACGAGAATTAAAGAGAACGGCACGCAAGGCTCACGTGTGCTGAGCGGAATCGGTTGGAACTCCGGGTACTGCCCTCTGAGCCGGCCACGTGTCAGAAGGCTCCTCTTACGGCTATTTTAGACGCCGGGAGAGATCGCCGTACTGATAAACAAACCGACCCAGGGCCGTTTGCTTATCAGTCCGGCTAAAAAGAAAAAGAACATGTATCTTTGAAGACTGTTATAGCGTCGCAGTTGTAGCACGCATTCTAATAAATATTGAATGCTTTTAATGTTGTCATAAAATAGTTTTATTCATTAAGAAGACAATCCAACGTCCGGTAATCTTGCGCATGATATCTTACATTGCTCAACTGACACTCGCTAGATCGTAAGTGAAGAAAAGCATTCAACGCAACTAAAATGCTGCTCGCACCTTCCAGATTTTTTTTTTTCTAAGTGGCCTTCCTTTTTTTTTTTTTCTTGTTCTTCACGTGTTGCCATTCTGCCATTTGTACGCCTCTCGCAAGGGGGTGCCAGGCAAGACAAGCTGACGGCTCATTTCAAACGTCCATTTTTTAATCAGGCTTGATTGGCACTTCGCGATAACAGCTGCCGCTCGCTTTCAAACTTTGAACAATTATCGACGCTGTCTGTCCCGAGACCGCGCTCGCTCGCCTGAGCGGCTTTTGAAAATTTATTTCTCTTTTATCTTTTTTTTTTCTGGCAGCCTCGCCCTAGGAATGATAGAGTATCAATGCGCTTGCCGATATTGACTTTATTGATTTTGTTTTAAATTCTAATATTTCAATCTCTAAACGCGTTCGTTCTCTTATTTCTTTTTTTTTTTTTTTTGTAAATAAATTGTTTTGTTTTATTTTGTTCTGCTACTGTCGTTACGGACGTACCGGCGTATTTTTTTTAACCCTTTTAAAGTCATTCTGCGAAAATTATTTATCGCAATCATTTAGAGGTTGAGAGCTGTGAAAAAAATTACTATAGAATGTGTGCGGGGTGGCGTGCATTCTTCTTCATCATTAATGTTGTTCAATGATAAATAAAAAGCGAGGCTGATATAAGTGAGAATTTTAGATTAAAAAAAAAAAAGAACTACAGAGCATAAAGTACGGTGATAATTATTGAGTGTGTGCGAATATTGAAATTTCAGCTCAAATTGAATAGGAATCGAATAGAGCAAAACGTCGCGAAAAAGTGGAATATCGAATGAATTGTCGAATTTCTATTGCAAAACAAAAATACAACTGCTTAGCAAAATAAGAAGGTAATCGCCTATTTGCTTATTTTACCGCCAGGACGTTGAACGAAGAGTCGTTCGAACGAATACAAACGGCGTTAATTTCATCACTTAGCAGCGACAAACTTGAGGCTTAGTTGAAGAATGTATCCACTCATTCACATAGTTGGACACATATACTGGTATGTGTATTCAAATACGACCGGTGTGGTGGACTAGTTCACGCTCGCAGGTGTGTGACACAGTGAGACGGAACACGAAGACAATGTGGTTGGATACGATAAATATGATTAAAGATTTAAGACATTATATACAGATTATTACAAAAACCGCACAAACGAATGTCACTGACAGTATGAAATAAGAGTGTTACAGGCCTTGCCGGGGAGCGATGCGACAGTGTTCGAAGCCTGGTGAGCGTTGCAGCGATGGCTTGGTTGGATGTCTCAACCCGTCTGTTGACGTGTGGCTAGGAGGCGGCGTCTTCGTAGTCGGGTCTTGCGTGTAGCTGCAAGACTCCGTCGACCTGTCCACGGACGACCTTGCGTAAAGTTGCAAGGCACAGCCCGCCGGCCTGATGCTGTCCCGTCGAGTTCCACACTTCTTCTTCTTCGACCTCCTTCTTTTTCTTCTCCCTCAGTGAAGGCTTTCTTTCTTGCCCGTGGAAATCACCATGCTCACCCCAAATCACCACAATCACCCCTCACTTAAGATATTTGTTTGGTTCAAGCAACTTCTACCACGTTCACTGTCACTGAGTACGCAAGTTACCATATGCTATAAATTCTGTCCGTTGACCATATACACACACACACACAACAAAAAACAAAAATTTCTACGCGAAGGATAAGGCATTAATAGTCACGGCCTAAACACTGTGCGTTGAGAAAAAAAAATAGTTTTAACACAAACAGCAGTATATACGTCAAAAGTCACTGAAAAAGGACCGTCGGCCACACGTGCACTTACAAAAATTATTTACGCACCTAAAACCATGAATGACCTAAACAAATATTCTTAAGCAGCAGACATCCGACTCATATAATCAGCGCCAACGTTTTCACTACCTTTGATATACTCAACGGTAAAGTCGTATTCCATAAGAGCTAAGCTCCAGCGCAAGACTCGGTTGTTGACGTGCTTTGCGGAATTTATATAAACAAGTGGCTGGTGGTCACTCTGCAAAATAAATGACCTTCTGAACAAGAATACATGAAATTTCTTAACTGCCCACGTAAGTGCCAGACCTTCTCGTTCGATTGTTGAATAGCCTGCTTCACGCGGAAGAAGTCGACGACTTGCGTAGGCGACCGGGTGAAGAACATCATCATGCCGTTGCATGAGAACGGCACCCACGCTGGTGTTCGACGCATCGGTGCGTAGCACGAAAGGTTTCGAGAACTCTGGTGCTTTTAGAATGGGTTCTTTGGACAATTGTTCTCTTAGCTTGTCAAAAGCCTCTTGTTCCTTTTTGCTCCAATTTACCCTGTTTGGTGCCCTCTTTCGTGTCAGTTCGGTTAGTGGATGAGAAATCTCAGCGTACTGAGGAACGAAATCCCGATAATAGCCCGTAAGGCCGAGGAATGATCGCACCTCTTTTTTCGTCTCTGGCTGTTTAGCAGCTTGAATCTTCTCCAGTGTCTCGACCTGCGGCCTCAGGAGACCATGACCAACGATGTGTCCGAGGAACTTCACAGAGGAAAAACCAACTTCGCTTTTTGTAGGTCGGATGGTTAAACCGGCATCCTTAACCCGCCGGAAGAACAACTCGAGCGCCTCCAGGTGTTTCTCCCAGTTCTCTGTGGCAATGAGGACGTCGTCGAAGTAGTGGTAGACCTTTGGGAGACCCTGGACCACTTTTCTCATCAGCCGGGTGAAAATGGCCGGCGCGGTTTTGATGCCAAAGGGCATAACACGGAACTGGTACAATCCCAATCTGGAAGAGAAGGCCGTCATCGGTTTTGCTTCCTCGTGCATTGGAACCTGCCAGTACCCCTTCGAGAAGTCGAACTTTGAGAAGTACCGGCTTCGTCCTAATTGTGCAAACATCATGTCCACCCTTGGTATTGGTTCGTTGTCGGAGATCAGAGCCCTGTTCAGTTGTCGGAAATCAATGCACAGCCGCATTGACTTGTCTTTTTTCTTTACCACCACAACAGGTGATTGATACGGAGACTCCGATGGCTCAATTATGCCTTGCTGTAGCATTTGCTGGATTTCACTTTCCACAGCTTCTTGTAAAGAGAATGGTATCGGGTACTGGTTCACCTGAACAGGGGTGTCTGTTGTAAGCTTCAATTTGCATTCCACCAAATCGGTCTTTCCTGGAACATCTGAAAGACTCCCCTGGTGTGCCGCCAAGAGGGTAGCAACCTGAGTTCGTTGATCGCTAGTTAATTCCTCGGAAACTTTCACGTCTCGGTAAGTTTCCTTTTGGTGCAGCGTCAGCACAGGTACATCCTCTTCCTCCACTTCCTCGTGTTGGAATGCGGCTGACGCACGTTGGGGTGTCTGATCGGTTAGTGGCCTTTCTTCATACTTCTTCAGCATGTTGATGTGGAACAAGCTGGTTCTGGTCCCTAGGTCGATGACGTAGTCGACGTCGTTTCGTCTTTCTAAGACGGCAAAGGGACCTTTCCAAGTCAAGATAAGTTTGTTTGCGTCAGAGGGAAGGAGTAGAAGAACCTTGTCTCCGACAGAGAGTTGGCGCACTCTTGCCTTTTTGTCATAGTATCTCTTCTGTACGGCCTTTGCTTTCGTGAGATGTTCTTGGGCCATCCGGCATGTTTCCTCTAACCGCTGGCGCAGGTCAATCATGTAGCCATATGAGGTCTTCGTCTCGTCGTCTATACGTTCCCCTGTCCAGAGCTCTTTCAAGATGGCCATGGGTCCTCTGACGTATCTGCCGTACAGTAAGTCGAAGGGCGCAAACCCGAGGCTAGTCTGTGGAAGTTCGCGATACGCGAATAACAAAGGCGCTAAGTACCTGTCCCAGCTTTTAGGGCACTCCTGACACATCCGGCGTATCATTTGCTTCAACGTACCATTAAAGCGTTCTACAAGGCCATTGGCCATAGGATGGTACGGTGTGGTCGGCAGCTGTCTGAACGAGAGCAGACGACTGAACTCCTTCATGAGTCCAGACAGGAACGATCTGCCACGATCGCTAATGATTTCGCGCGGAAACCCCACGCGTGAGAACATTTCGAGGAGAGCTTCGGCTACCTTCTCGGTCTCAATGCTTGGCAGAGCAATGGCGTCAGGGTAACGTGTCGCGAAGTCCACCATGGTGAGGACATAGCGGTTTCCCTTCTCTGAGATTGGTGCTAGTGGGCCCACAATGTCGATGGCCACCCGCTGAAAAGGTGTAGCAATGACTGGCATGTTTCCGAGAGGCACACGGCCTACTAAGTGCTTTGGCACAGTTCCCTGGCAGATGTCACACGACTTTACGAACCGAGTGACATCTCCCTGCACACCCGGCCAGTAAAACTCCTCGAGCACCCGATCTGTTGTGCGCTTAATTCCCTGGTGTCCAGAGAGAATCCCCTCGTGCGCCATTTTCAGCACGAAGCTTCGAAGGTTGCTTGGGACGACGAGCTGTTCCATTTGCTTAGCCGATGGTAACCTGTAGTGACGGAAAAGAATTCCATTTGTCAACACGAACTTAACATCAGCTGCTCGTGACACCACCTCGCGTCCAACAGCTTCAAAGCAGCCGTTTAGCGAAGGGTCTTCTCTTTGCTTGGTTCGCAGCTCCTCTGGATGAATGTCCACTGGATTGACCGTTGCCACAGGGAGCCGGCCAGCTGCACCCTCAAGCTGCTTGTCCTTCGGATTCATAGCAGCCAAGAAAGAGGGCGTCTTTGTACCAGTTGGTTGACTCGTCAGACTACTGTGGCTCTCATTTGAAGTCTCTGGTGCAGGCTCTTCTTTCTGGGTTGGAGCATACTGCTCTGCTTTCCAGTTGATATCAGGAGTAGAAACATCCCGTACGCCAACAACGTTTCCTAATACGACGTCGTACAGCGGATTTTCCATGCACGTTGCAGTCACTCTGCCCCTGAAATAAGGAGAATCAATGTCCACCTCCGCTTCTGGTAGACACCTGACTGTGCGGTCCAGCAGGTAGAGCATTCGGCTTTTTCCTGTCAGTTTGCCATCAGGAACTAATGACCGCTTTACTATTACGGAGTTACATCCGGAATCCCGGAGAACAGTGACAGGCTGTCCCTCAAGCAGTCCTGTAGCCGTCGGCATATCTTCTGCTTGAACCTCGGACCCCTTTGTCCTTGCCGTTCCCACCGGATATTGCTTCGACAGACAGGCGTCGGAGCCCAAGTCCTCAGGACGATTGCAGTGCATCACTGAGCACGACGCTTTACCGCCAACGTCTGACTTTTTGTTAGGACAAGCCTCGGCTTTATGCCCATTATCGCGGCATTTCCAGCAGAAATTCGCATTTTGTTTAGGTCCTTTTGAGTTGGACCAGCAGTCTGCGGCCCGATGGCCCAGTTTGTTACAGAGGAAGCACTGCGGCTTCCTCTTTTCATCTCGATGGGCGGGAATTCTAGCTAACCCCGAAGGCTTGCTAGAATCTTTTTCTTCTTTATTTTTTCCAAGGTTGGTCAACCCTTGGGCCTCGAGGTAGTGGTCTGTAGCCTCCGCTAGCTTATCGAGGCCCTGGCAGCCCCTTTCCTTTAAAAAGATCGCGAGCTTCTCATGGCATTGTTTCAGGAACTGTTCGGACACTATTTTATCTCGAAGTGCGTCGTAAGTGTGTTCCGTTTTTGCCATCTTTTGCCAGTGGTCAAAATACCCTAAAAGGCGGCCGGAAAATTGCCTACCCGTCTCCGCGTCCTCCGGTCTCGCGCTCCGAAACTTAGTGTGGTACCCTTCCTCGGTGTACCGAAAACGTTGAAGGAGTGTCTGCTTCAACTTATTATAGTCCATGGCGTCGTCAGGAGCCATGCGTCCGACCACACTTAGCGCCTCTCCTGTCAGGCATAGGCTGAGGGACAAGGCCCATTTATCCGGGGGCCACTCCTGACTAGTTGCCACCCGCTCAAATCTTTGGATATACGCATCAAGTTCGTCGCGCCTCTCGTTAAATGCCGGTATTAGCTTGTGCGGGCTCCGATGTCCATGTACAGCACCAGTTGACGTACCCTCGCCAGCCGCATCTGGAACTACCGCTCCTACGATCCCCTGTCGCTCCTGTAAGCGTAACTTCAGCTCTAGTACTGCACGTTCTGCATCTAATCGAGCGCGAGCATTGGCTTCCGATTCTTTGACAGCTTCGCGCTCTGCCACACGCTGATCTCGATCGCGAGCACGTTCATCGTCCATCTATTGTTTTAGTTCTGGCCCCGAAAGCCCCAACTCTTTGCCAACCTTCATTAACTTCTCGAGATCCATTCTCGGTCGTCACACACACACCAGCGAGGTGAAGCTCTTTAGAGTGGAAAACAAGAGCAAAGTCCTGTCGCGGACGCCAGATATGTGGTGGACTAGTTCACGCTCGCAGGTGTGTGACACAGTGAGACGGAACACGAAGACAATGTGGTTGGATACGATAAATATGATTAAAGATTTAAGTCATTATATACAGATTATTACAAAAACCGCACAAACGAATGTCACTGACAGTATGAAATAAGAGTGTTACAGGCCTTGCCGGGGAGCGATGCGACAGTGTTCGAAGCCTGGTGAGCGTTGCAGCGATGGCTTGGTTGGATGTCTCAACCCGTCTGTTGACGTGTGGCTAGGAGGCGGCGTCTTCGTAGTCGGGTCTTGCGTGTAGCTGCAAGACTCCGTCGACCTGTCCACGGACGACCTTGCGTAAAGTTGCAAGGCACAGCCCGCCGGCCTGATGCTGTCCCGTCGAGTTCCACACTTCTTCTTCTTCGACCTCCTTCTTTTTCTTCTCCCTCAGTGAAGGCTTTCTTTCTTGCCCGTGGAAATCACCATGCTCACCCCAAATCACCACAAACAGCACCCGACACTTTTCTGCACCGGTGCAGGAAGTGCACGTAAATCGAACCAAGCTAGTGTTGGAAGAGAGCTAGGTGGATATACAAATACGGCTGAACTTTATGATTCAGGGCGGCGTCCTGCGCCACCTAGCCGTGATACCGCGACTCACACCGCGGTAAGCGGCGGGTTAGCGGATTGAGCCAGCACTGCGATTCTCCGGGGTGTTTTTTTTTTTTGTTGTTTTTTTAGACTACAAATTAATAACTGCTTTAGGTTTTTCTGTAGCCCCCAGGGGTTACTTTGGGGCCATGGAGGCCGTCAGGTGAGGTGAAATGGTTTAATTAGTTAGCTACGTAACCAAAAGTTTCGATCAGCTTGATAAGTTGTTTTCTTGCGGGACATCAGTTAGAGAATGGCCGCTCCTACCTCATTATGAAGATGGTCTAGACGTAAAGTGACAGTATGCTCAAAATTTAGTAGTGGCCACTACGAGGTAAGAAATGTCACCCTTCTACACGTATTCAAACAAAGTGTGCAATCAAGTTGTGCTCCCGAAGTCAATCCCTCCGCCCTGCGCCGGCTCCCCATCCCACGGTTCCGTACCGCAGGCGACGTCCGCACACCCTAGGAAAAAGCGAGAAAAAGGTAGCAACGGCGCGTCTTCCTCCCTTCTACTGACGGGCCCCGAAGCGGACACGAGAAGAAGGGAGGAACGAAACGTTTTTCTCCTTCTCCAGGCAGACGGGAGCAGAGACGAGACTAAGCTTTCGCCCTCCCGACTCATCTTTCTTCAGTTTCGTTTTTCGAGCACGTCGAGCACATTGTTCAATAAATATTGTTCAGTTGATTGAGCTTTAGCGGCAGCCAAGACCGCCTGTAATTCCGTCTTCTAGTCTAAACGTGCAGAACATTTCAGTTGCATTGACGTTTTTGTCACTAATTTTATCAAACGAGCAAACGAAGCCGCTAGAAACAGCGAAGTTCAGGAGCAGTGCCAGCAGCGCTTAGTACACTGGGTAAGATGGCCGTCCCCGGAGTGTGGGACCCACGCGGAACTACAGTAGCGGAACCACGCGGAACTGTGTCGACGTTTTCAACGTTATGGAAATCGCAGGAACTGCGTTCGCTGCCGGCTGCCTGGGTGCCTTCTGTGCTGAGTTCTGTTCTGTTTTACGATGCCGAGTGCCAACCGGCGTTTAACGTGGGTTTGTATTTCTGCGTGTCAGTAACATAGCAGCAACATCGTGATGGCAGTGTTGTGGGCTGTGAACAAAAGACTGTAATTATTGCCGGTGTGACCGTGTGTTCGCGTATCAGTGGTGTAACAACAAGATGAGATGACGTAAACTGTCGGGCATTGATGCCGCTGGTCGGGCCGTGATCGGAGGGGGCGGGGTGTCGCAGGATGACATTCCGCTTTACATTAAAAAGTTTAAGACCACTTGAGAGATTATGTGCAATCGATCGACGTGCAAATAGTCGTATTGGAACGCTGGTCTGAACAATAAGCTCCTATCAGTGTCCAATGTGACTATCCGTTGTCTCCTCCCCGAGAGCGATTGCGCTCTGGGGAAAGGACTGAACAGTACGAAATTATGACGGAAGGTACGTATATCTACAGTGTGGAATTTTAGCATTAAAAACGAATAGTTGGTAAAATCGAAAAAAAGTCACCCTTTATTTTGCTGTTTAAATATACTACAGCAGGGATTTCCCTAGACCCCCCTAGTTTTTCTGGACCTTGAATCTAAAAAAAAGGAAAAAATAAAATAAAATTCTTTTTTTTCAGCTTAACTAGAAAACACCACCTCTCAGGTGTATAGATAGAGAAAGGGAAACATACATTACGGGTATGAGCATTTGGTTAATAGACGTCTGTAATTTAGCTAGTGGACTAAAAAAGAAACAGTTTTATATTTTATCTAGCCTCGCCTCGCATCGGCTCCCCCCCCCCCCCCCCCCCCCCTTAGCCATTGGGACACCCCCCTTGATTAGAATCCTGGGGAAACCCCTGTACTACGGTTTTTGGAGAAACTGTCTTCCAGGTGGCGCGCTGGGATGAGCGCTAGAAGTTTTGGAGCTTGCCACGGCGTAGCGCCGTACACTTAACACCTGCCGCAATTCGCGGCTTTGACTGCATTCAAGTTGACCGAAAAGCGATTTCTCAGCGCGTGAAGCATCACTTCCAGCTGAGTGAATATCCGCTCTACAGAGATTAATTAAAGATGGCAATTGCAGCCTTGCGCGAACAGCACACATAGAAAAAACAAGCACTATAATAGAAATACAGGCTACGACGGCCGTGCGGAGAAACAAACTCATGGCTTCGAACCGCATTGAAGCGGCTTGATTTATTGGCTTTCAAATAATTACGGCATGATCGAGCGTTTGCTTTTTAATAAGAGATTCATCCCCTGAGCCGTTTAAAATACTCTCAGAGTTATGACATTGCTGGAAAAAAATCAACATGCTGGGAATATTTTTGTTGCTCATTAAGTCACCGAGAAATTCCGTACGTTCAAACCGACGAGTTTAAAAGACGGAAGCGCAGGGCTCAGTTACAGTGTTCTGGTTAGTGGGCCGTTTTATTGACCTTTGTGTGTGCCATGTATGTGTATGCAGTGTAGGTTCACCTGATTCTTGTAGTATGCGTAATGTGTCTACATGTGTCTGTGTATACACTCTTAGCCGGGTATACCCTTTAGTAGAGGGTACGTTTTTGCAAATTTGTACCTTTGATTGTAGGAGTTACAATGTAACCCCCAACACTGTACCCTCTACGCAGTGGTCACGTGAAAGCTCCTATATAAAGGTTACAGTAGCGCCTGACGTACCCAGATGTTTTTGCTTTTTATTTCAAGTTTAAAAATGTGGGCGACCGTTGCGTGTGGGCTTTTTTTTTACAGTTGTTTTTAGAAAAGGCGGTAATAGCTGCGTGGAGGCCGTCTTCACCGTAGTTTCGCGTGGTCGGCGCACATTATACGAGTGGATAAACGTCACATTATGCTCACTAATTAACCAAAATTTGATAATTAACCTTTCAATGAATGGCTTACTTGGTCATAACGGTAGTGATGTTTGCTGCCTAACCCATTTGAGGCCATTCGTGAAAAGGCAACGATCTTTGAGATATCCATGGTTAAAATTTTGCCTTCGCTCGATTCAAGACCGCAAGTTGAATATAATTCGTACGAAAGTGACGTACTTACTTCTGTTCCTCTGTCACTATCATTTACGTTTGACGCCGGCGCGTCCAACAAAGGCATGCCGTCGAGATAGTTACGAGGAGGGCCGATACAACTGCGTCGCGCTTCTATGCACCATAATCAGGCGCGCCTCTCTGCGTGCGGTTTTCAATCAAGCGCGGAAGGCAAACTTTTAAACAAAAAATATCTCAAAGGTTGTTTTTTTACGAGCTGTCTAAATTGGGTCAGGTTTTAATAATTGGTCCTGTTAACACTGAAATTGCGACAATTGGACCATTAATTCAAAAGTTAATCAACATATTTTGATTAATTAGTCAACAAAATGTGACGTTTATCCCCTCTTCTAATGTCCGCCGAGCCCCACAAAAATGCTACAAAGACTGCATTCACGTAGCAATACCTCCTTTTCTTAAAAATACCGTAAGGAATAAAAAAATGCGCTCTGTATATAGTACATACTTACGTATACTTTTCAGCAAGACATCTTCGCCGATTTGAGACCCTCCTTGAATATAACTTTTGTGCAACAAAATTAAACACGAAGCACGTTCCTCGCCCGAAAATCTGCCCTAATTTAAAGTTGACTATAATCAATAATATTTGTGACCCTTGTCA